CAATCAGGATGATGTAAATATCATTTCTGAAACCAATCAAGATAATGTTCACATTTTTGAAGATAAACGTGAAAAAACGAACAAAGATAATATTGTCGTTCCATCAGAAACGCAAGATATCAATAATGATATTGAAAATAATATGAACGACAAAAATAAAAAAATGGATAATTTGATTATAACTATAGATAATGCAGCTACGAGTAGTTGCAATTCTGACAATAATACTACAAGTACTTTCAAGTGTATCTCTCAAATAGAAGATACAAAAACAGATGAATTGGTTCAAGATTATGTGTCTAATATGACAAATGATGAAAAATCTAAAGAATCATCTGAGAGAGATGTTTCAGATCAAAATAATGACCAAAATGATATTGTTGCAATGAATAGTGAAAAAATATCTGAGATTATGATAGAAACTTGTTCTGAAGAAGCATTGCATCCTCCTATTGACAAATCTGTGATGGCTCTTGAAGAGAATGATGTTACTCATCATAATAATGAAGTTCCCATTGAAAAAAGTGAATTATCCGTAAGTAATTTAAGTGATCAAAGTACTACCGAAAATACTGAAGGTAGATCGTCAATATCCATTGATAATATATCGTCCAGCTCAGTTGACATAGCAAAAGATAACGATGTAACATCTGAGGAAATAGTTGAAAAAAAAGAATTGCAAAGTAAAACTATTGAATCAGCTGTAGAAAAAAATCGCAATGAAAGTGAAGTTACACAAGCTAATTCTGAAAATTAAGGAAACTGATATATGAAATAAAATAAAAATTATCTACTAAATATTGTCAACATAAAAAATAAGTAAATGTATCTATAAAAATCGTATGAGAAAAAAAAAACAAAAAAAAAAAAGAAATACAAAAATGCAATGCATTCAAATTATATAATATACGAAAAGAAAAGAAATTTAGCTGCTGCACAAATTATATTTTTAAATGTTACTTCGATTATTTATATATAAATAATAGTTAAAAAGTGAAGCGTTCTTTCTATAATTTGTGATTATGTTAATAATCTTTTCCTAGTGACGCAAGAATTAAACGATTTTTCATTAATTTGGCATTAACATGAATGTATGCTTAATAGAAACATGTTTCAATTAATTTGATATAAGTTTATTATAATATGTTGCAAATGTTTATAAGAAAATTCGCTTGTATTCTTTTATAATTGCGTTACAACATTTATATTATTTATACTCTATTTTTAATTATTGTTATATCACCATGTTATTATTTTTGCAAAGTGCAATGTGATTTATTTTCGATAAATTTGACTTGCTGATTTTACGTCGAATCAGAAAATGATAGTATTTTTATGTATCCCATTAGATGATCGAAAAATATTTTTATAATTCGCTTTTACAATCAGCAAATTAAAGAACAATTACTAAGTCATCCTATAAACTGAGATTAGTATCTCACTAAAGTTTCTAATTCGGATTAACGCCGATGCCAAACTATTAATCATTTATTATTATTATTTCCTATAGTAATTAATTGTTATATTATTTTATAGTTTATTTGTATTTATTTTACTTTTTTTCCAATTTATTATTTGTTTTTATTACCGAAGTTTATGTTCTATTACATATAAAAATATGAACTTTAAGTTTCTTAGAAGCTTTTAAATATATATGACACAGATTAAATATCTTAACTCTACATTTTTATTATGCCCTTAAACATTGGAGAAAGAATGCATTTCCTCTCATCCCGAATCATGGATTATAAAAAGATATACTAACAATATCTTCTTCTTTTTAATTTTCTAATCTTTACTAATTCACACTTGATCTCATTTTATTTAACTTGCAGAACTTCGACTTCATAATTCAACAGTTTCATAAATTCTTTGATCTCTTTCAACAATTCTTCATTTTTAAGATTATACTGAAAATGCATCAGTTCCTTTCGTATATTACTTTTTTTTTTTTAATAATATTTTATAATATCGATTACCGTGATAACTTGTCTGTAACATAAAGTAAATTCGTCGTATCGTTTAAGAGAAAGATTCAACAAACATAAATATCCCCAAACATCAGCGTTGCAATTATCAATCTTGTTTGCTTCTATCAAAGCTAATTCAGCTTCTTTTAATTGATTCAACTTAAAAACAAGAATTTAATTATTATCAAAAACGATCGTTCAATCAAAGTACAACGAAAATATCTTATCATAAAAGACAAATATTGTTAACTTTATAAAAAGAAATTCCAACGTGAAGCCAACTAATAGACGTAGGTGAAGATTGGCAAGCATTTAACAATACTTTCTTAGCTTTTTCATAATCCTTTTTACTTTCGTAGCACAGTCCCATTCTAATTAAAATATTTGAATCATTATACATTGTAATTTCATTTGAATATCTTTATGATACCTTAATTGCATAAAATAAATATCATCTGGTCTGTCAAAAACCATATTAGCAAATTCATAATACTTTATAGCTTCTTTTAAATCACCATTTTGGAAATAACAATGCCCCATTAAACAACTTATCGAGTAATCCTAAAAAAAGAACATTAATTAAGAACAAAATAATCGTGTATATTTGAGTGAAAAACAATGTCAAACCAGTCCGTATTGACATTGAGCTTCCTTCAAATGAGATAATGCATCTTCGTATCTGTGTAAGAGATAATGTTCCACTGCCATATAATATAATAAATGCGTCGATCTATCAGTTAGAGACATTTCTTCTGCCAATGCAATACCTGCCAACTATTATAAAGAAATAAATCTTTAAACTTATATGAATGCAATTTAAACGTAATTAATCAAGAGAGTATTATAAATTAAACAATAATAATTATTACATCATAGAGATGTAATTTAAGCAAGAACGTTATTGTCATCGTGTATATGCTATCTCGTGGACAATGGATCATTGACCATGCAAGAGGTTCTCGATTATTGATTGCTATATCTCGATCTTTATCTTTCATGCATTCCTCGGCTATCCGAATCGTGATGCCTCTTCCTAATATAACAATACCATTTTTACGTGTGATAAGTATGAATGTATGTACATATGTGTGAGTGCATGTGTTTGAATGCATGTGTGTGGAAAAGAAAAATAAAATTATATACAAGAACATGGTTCCTGTAAGTATAAAATAATAAAGAAACGAATAATTAATTAGTTATTTCATTTTTGTTGTTGTAATTAAAAAGTAACACGTTGTAAAAAAAAAAACCGTGAATAATTTGAACATAATCGAAGGGGAATAATAATTTGATTAATTAATACCTGAATAATAATCGGTACGAATGTAAAATAAATGCAAGATCGTCCATCCTTCGACAAATCGTGGATAAAAATCGGTAATACTTCGAAAAAATATTTCTGCTTCTCGATAAAGTCTTTTTTTCATTAAAATAGCTCCATAAACTAATAGTCTATACGTGAATGAAATAATAATAATAATTAATTAATTAATAAATCGATTATTTCTATCGATCAAATTACGAATTATTTAATTACGATATTTTGTGACGATTATTTAAAAGAATAGCTTCTCTACAACATTCCTCGGCACGTTCTGTATCTTCTATTTTTAATAAAAATATTGCATAATTGATCCATGCATCAGGATCATTTTTACTTTTATCGATAATCTAAACATACGAAAAGTAAAATATGAATTTTTCTACAAATTAATAAATTTGATTAAAAAATTATTAATAATCAATGTAAATATACGGTAGTATAATATTTTCTAGCTTCATTGATGTAGCCTAATTCATAAGCTTCTTCCGCATAGAAATAAAATCGATCTGAATCAGAAATAATCGACGAATCTTTCGAATAATTTCCTTCGATCGTTTGATTAACGATCGTGTGCATAGATTCGACCAAATAAGTATATACCGATATTATAAAATTCTAATAAACAAACGGGTAATATAATGTTCTTTAATTTTACGATTAATTATAAAATCAATTAGATAAAATGATTATTCACGTAATTTACCTGTCCTTCGCAAGAATCTAATGTATACGATGGCATTTGAAATTTGTGATCTAAAAGTAAAGTAACTTTCGTCTTCAATGCATTACGTACGGATAAATAGACTCCTGTTTTATATAAATACTGAACGAAACATGTTAACTCGTCCTAAAAAAAAAAATTTATTTACCGTTACAATGAATAATTCAATTAAGTAAAATACACCGAACGTGTACTCCGTGCTTCTACCTTACAGTATACATTTTTTTAAATTAATTAACAATCATTTAAGATATGTCCAATACTCTAATGTTTTTTACTTACATTTTTTACATTTAGAATTGCTTAAACTAAAATACATTTAGTAATTAGTGTCTCAATTTAATTATATATTTATTTAATTAGAATGAATTTTCATTAGAAAGAAAAAAAGATTAACGAACCGGTAAATAACAAAATGTAGAATTTTGATCTCCGGTAGTTTCGTGGTCAGAAGAAAATGATTTCTTATTTGTTTCTTGACAAAAATCCTATCGAATCATATGATTTAAATGAAATATAATATTATTCATTAATAATACTTATTTCTCTCATACTTTATAACTTTCCGTTAAGATATTAAATAACGTTTCAATGCATTTTGAATATTGATCCTCAACAACGTCTACAGAGTATGGATAATATGGTTTTTTATCTGTCGGAGTTATCAATTCATCGATCCTAAAGTAAAATAAACGATTGATAATAATAATTACAAAATTAATTATAATAATAATTTACAAATTAGAAAAATCTTTAGCTAATCGACAAGGAACAAGGGGTCGAATAATTTCAATCTCAATTATTACAAAAACAGGTTCATTGGTTTTTGTGATTACTGGTTCACTCGTTAATGTTTCTGCTTCTGATACTATCGATGTATTCTATAAAAAACAACATTACAATATTCCAAAATAATAATATCAAGAATATATGTTAACTAATTTCGATAAAAGATAAATGATCACTTTCATCGAAGTTCTTCCTCGTTTATCTTTTTCCTTAGATTCTTTCGTTTGATTATCTATTAAAAAAATATTTTTATCAAATCCGGTTTTTTCCATAAGATCTACGGGATTGTAGGTATACAATTGCGATGCAATTCGCGTTTTAGTTCCTAAAATACAAATTTATATATTATATGCAATAACTTAGAGATTTTCTTTTATCTACTTTTTTTTTTTTTTTTTTTATTATTTATTTATTCGTTTACACTCACTCCCAGGAAATAATAATTCGCTTAAATCGACGTAACATTGATAAATCGGATATTTCGTAGTAGATTTTGTTTTTGCATTAACTTTTTGTACATCCGATGCTATGAATTGAAATGGCCAATATTTATATCTATATATATATATATATTTGTATAAAAAAAGAAAATTATTATAGAAAAATGATGAATTATAATTTCATATTAAAGAAAAAATATAAAAATAATATTGATTTTAACTTGGAAATTTGATCTCGCATTTTTCTAATAGCATCTTTTAACAGAATGTGACGACTCATAGAATTCCATTCAATTCTTGTTATATCATTCTCAACTACGTTCTTAAAATAATTATATTATTATTATTATAAACATTGAAAACTTTCTTTAATATAAATACCTGTAATTGTAACTCCTTATCGAGAGTATTTTTTACATCATTGTAATTACAAGCAATTTTATATTTCGATAATTTAGCACGACTTTGTAAATGAAACAAAGAATTCCAACATTTAGTTTTATATATATCTCGATCATTTATCAATTTACCACCATCGTGTATTATCGTTTCCGGTTCCTTCGATCGAATAATTATAAAATAAAAAATGTATTCGTAATATGTTAGATAAAAGAAAAGATTGAAATAAAAATATACCAACTTCGTTTTCTTCGCCATAAATAATAGTACCAGCTTTATAATCGATATTATCAGTGAACCATGATGGTGGATTAAAAATACTTTCTATGGTGATGTTTAAAAAATTATATTCTAGATCAGAAGGAAAGAATCGTTCATCCTCTTGTTTAACTTTGATTTTTAAGTATGGAAGATTAGGCCACGACGAAGCAGTACCATCGAATTTAAATTGCATTGTTTCCAGTATTAATTTTTCAGTAAATAAATTCTCTCCTATATAATTACGTAATTTGATAATATTCAAAGATTTATATACAGGTTGTATAAACGAGCAAGGAGTGATATAATCAAAAAAAGTTGAAAATATACAATAAAGTATTTTATACAATGTGTCAAGTTGCATATAAATAACAAATGTGCATGTTTAATTAATAAATTTGTAATAAAACTTTATACGAACAAATTTTATTCTATATTTTCAACTGAGTTTTTTATATTGAATAATCTCTTACTCGTTTGTATCACACAAGTTATATGAAACATTATATATACCTAAAATATTTATACAAATTTGACGTTACCTAATAAAATTGGCATTAAATCGACGTTGCATAATCCAATAATTTTGGATGATTTCAATTCTTTTTTCTTTCTTTCTGTATCCAAAACAGTAGACGTAACATTTTTATCTTGATTGACGTATAATACTGTAACTATAAATTGAAAAAGAAATCATCTAACCGTATAGAATAAAATTTGATAATTAAACTTTACTTAAAATTGGAATGGAAACGAAAAGATCGATGCTGTTTCGATCGTGAAGAAGTACTGGAATTTTTACTGAAAAATTAACATCGTATACAGGTGTGGATTCTTTGATACCAGCTTCGATTTTAATTGGATTACTTTCTCCGAGTATATTTGAATTATGTTCTATGGAAATAATTACATTCGTATCTTCGTTTGTTATCTGGAAAATAATTATAAACACGAATATGAAATATTTTTATAAATTTGTTCATTAATTTACAAATGAACTTACGATATTTTCTAAAGTAATTATAGTTAACTCGATAATTCTTTCATTTCTATTTTCATCTAAGTTCAAATTCAAATTTGATGGGTCATGATCATTCGACTGTAATTAATATTGATATTAAAAAAAATATAATATATGTTGTAATATAAAAAATACAAATAGAAAATATCTTTACCGTATCCATTTTGACAACTTTGTTCATTTGTTCGTATGTTCAAATGAATTAGATCAGTTTGACATTGGAAAATTCTTATTCAGAAAATTCGAATTCAGCAAGGATTGTCAAGAATCGACTAATTTTATATAGGAACTATTTGGTTAAATAAAATAATATATAATATATTTCGCAGTGTAGAGACAACTCGATATTCGTCATATTATTTGATATATATTTAGATAAAAAAATTCATTTTACAAACCATTTATGATATATAATATATACGTAATATGTATATATATTTATATATATACACACATATATATTTATATTAAAATATATATTATATTATATGATTATATACTCTATATAGAATGTAATATATAATAATAATATATATTATAATATTGTATATATATATATGTATATATTAATAATACACAAATATAAAAAAATGATGGCCAATAAAATTTGGCCGACTAGAAAAACGATTAGATATTACGATCATACATCAAATGATTTAGAATAAACGATGTATGAAAGAGATCAAGTAAAATTAAATATACATGATAATAATTCAAATTTGATCGCTCTTCAAATAATTATTGTTGTACCCTATACCCCTTTTTTATAGATACAAGTCGAATAATTTTAATTTTTTTTAATTTTTTGTCTCTTTTTCTTTTAATTTTTTTTTTTTTCCTTTTTTTTTTAGAAAGACCTTTTCTTTTCGCATATACGTTAATATTTAGAACTAAATAAGTATTATAAGACGTCATGATCTTTAATAATATTTGCGTTGATTGTTAATTTTCTCAACAAATTAGATGATTTAAACTCATCGTTAATTCATCATTAAAGAGTTAAGAATTTGAATTAACACATGTCGCACACACACACAAATTGACCGTTTAATTAATTATTATTTATAGTGGTCAAATCATTTTCTTATTTTTTACGTATAGGAAACATAAATTTTGTGAAATTTAAATATTATTTGATCATCGTTTATCGTTCATTAAAATGTATGATTAAAGGGATCTCAAAGTTTTATCGATGTGCCTCAAGGTCTTTTCTGATACGGCATCGTTCAAAGCTTTTTGGAAACCCTCGTAATTCATTAATTGTCTAAAAATCTTCTTTGCATGATTTCTATAAATAAAAAAGAAAAAAACATACATTGAATTCCACAGTCAACAAAATTAACGGTATATTTATTTTGATAAAAGGGTTCGAACACTACTTACCTTGCGTCTAAATTTCCATCCGTCAATAATTTAGCTCCTGAATTAATTAATTTATCTCTAACATCACGAGGTAACATCATAGCGTGTTCAGCACCAATACGTTCTACAATCGATGATAGTAATCTCGCAGTGGTTGCTCTTACGATCGCATTTTGATGACTACAAATTGAATGATAATTATATCATACAGAAATAATTTCACACATTAATATAACAAAATTATAATAAAATAAAATGAATATTTTTTGTTTTGTTTTGGTTTTTCGCGTACTTTGCACCACGGAATACGATAGCAACGATAGTTTTATGCGGGGGAAGTGATTCGACCATTTTATCCAATGCTGCGTTACTATTAGATCGTAAAAAACGATTCGTATCAGCTGTTCTATGAAGCAGTGGTCCAACAATATCATCTAGATCCTGTTAAAATAATTTAACGTAAATGTAAATTTGAAGAAAACCAGTTGTTAATTCTCTCGTCCAAAATTATAATTCTTAATGATAAGGTATCCACAGGGAACTTGGATGCAGCAATTATTTTAGATTTAAAAGAAAATTGGTAAAAAAGAAATATCAACGAAATGTTTCATATATCAAACAATAACACGGTAAATTTTAGAACGGACACAAATAATTTAAATCACATCTATTACGGAATTTTTTAATTTAACTATAATAAATAGAACACTGTAATAGAGGACACCTTAACAGTGAAGATATCTAAACTAATAAACACTAATCTAGATTGAAACAGTTTTGTTGAGGGTTTCAAATTATAACGAGCAAATACTTAACGAAGTTTAGATGTTTCTGTGTTTTGAATATTAATAAAAAGAAAAATGTATGTCTACCCAATGAAAAAAGACGCTGAACTGTAAAGATTAAGGGGTTACATGGGTTTACACCGGGAAAAAATAGCATATTTTCAACAATTTTTTGTTCTATATAAAAAATGGAATTCTTATTCAAATTTTTTATAGTATTTAAGATGCTTATTTAAAGAAGATTTTCTGAATTTTTGGTTGAAAAATATTTTAAACTCCGCCATTGCGACGTCATTTCCGGTGACCCCACCGAAAAAAAGTGTTTTCGCGTTGACAGCAGAACTTATAAACGGTAGGGGTTTTTCTGTTGAAAAAATAGGGTCTTTTAGTGAATACTTAAAACTAGAAACTGGACGAAGAAAAAAGAAAAAAATTGAAATTTGGATTTTTGGCAATGTTTTTAGCAAGAACATTCAAATTTCGCTACAATTTGCACCACATTTTGGTTTCTTAAAATTCGATTTTATGAAAAAAACGAAAATCCTTCGTCCAAGTCCTTGTCAATAGTATCACGAAGACGTGTATCAAATTTCATGAAAATCGGTTAAATAGTTTTCGAGAAATCTTGACAACCGACTTTAGAAAAAGCGTTTTGAAAAAAACGCGTTTAAAGATTTGAGTGCTGGTATAAGAGCCATTAAAGAGTGCAACTTCCCAGGGCTCTATCTTTAAAACTACTACTTCTTTCGACTTCAAAATTGAATACAATATTCTAGATGAGTTGTAGAATTGAAAAAAAAAATAAAAAAAAATAAATTTTTTTGAAAGTCCCAAACCCATGTAACCCCTTAAGGTAACATGTAAAAAAAATATATATTGTATGAGCCTCATGTATATCGTAATATAAGAAATAATAATAAAATAAAATTTCCAGTTGCTGAAGAAGTCCCAATAAAGGGACGAAACGTCCAACTTAGTTAAATTAAGTTCTACTTTATTTTTATGTCCAAGTTCCCTGTGATACCTTATCATTTGAAGAAAACATTCAAATGTTTATTATCTAATAATTTTATATTAGGATTCATTTGTACCTGATCTATACTACGAATTTGACAACTAAAAATATCACCAGCAGCTGTACAAGCAGCACGTGCTACCTGAGAACGAAGACTTTTAATGTGCCGACCTAATAATCGAGCTACCATACCACCAATATTAGTATCCAGATACTCCGGATGTTGTTTAGCTAATTGAGATAAAGATTGAAGTCCTTTTATCGTTATCTCCCTATTCCAAACAAAATTTCATTTAAATAAATATTTAATTTTGTAATATATTTAATAATAATGAAAATATGGTATATTTTTTTTTTTGTTTGTTTGTTTGTTTTATAAAAATACGTACCAGTCTTTATTATCTAGTTGTTCAAAACACTTGTGTAGAATATTTTTCTGTGTATCCGTTGCTTTATCCGAATGATGATAACTCGTGTTTGATTTATTAAAAATATTCCTAGATTTGGTACGAAGTATGTGCTTAGGTAATGGCTTTTTAAAGACTCCTGCATTTTCTATAGGTTGTTGCTAAAAAGTAAAAACGATAATAACAAATTTATTATTTATTAATTAACAAAAGGAAAATGAAATGTATAATCGTGAACAAAAATTTTTATTTCATAGAAATGCATACTTCTATTTTAATAATCGCAGGTGCTTCGTTATTTTCTTTATCATCTTTTTTTTCGATATTATCTCTAATACCGTCCAATTTCGTAAAACTTTCCGAAATAATAGTAGTAGGTATCTTAGTAAACGCAATATTTGTCATAGAAATATCATTTGAAATATCTTCCGAATCAACATTTGATGCAATATCTCTAGAATTATCAACGTAATCCGTAGTATTGTTTAATAACGTTGAAATAGATTCATCGACATTTTCTAATTTAGATATTATCATTTCTTCACTTGTGATAGTCATAGGTTCATCTATATGAAAAATTTCTTCTTTTTCAACATTTTCCAATAATATATCGATGTTATCGTCGGAGAACTATAAATAAAATGATCAATATCAAATTTCATTGTATAATTCAGTTAATTCGTGAAGAATTTTAATTTGATTATACCCTTAAACTAATCGTTTTAGAAAATAACTTAATTTGTATAATAGTATGAATTCAAAAGACGAAAGTAATTAAAATATTTGATTGAAAAATATTACCTGTTCTGAACTTGAACGAAGAGAATACCTTCTCGGTGAACCGAACAATCCTAAATCATCAATCGGCGTAGAATAATCCAATTCGGATTGGACTATAACGTTTGAATGTTTAGGAGATGAAAATGACCAATTATCGGGCAACGTTTTATTGATTTTAAAATTAATTTCCAATGAATTTTGACCAGATGACATTGATAATTCGTTCATTATAATATCTTGATCTATTTTGGTAACGTTCGATTTTCTACGCAAGTTCACATCATTTATTTCTTCGTTCATCGTGTCAGAATTGTCACTATTTAAATTCGAATCGTCATAGTTTTTAATTGATTCCTCTCTTTCTTCCAAAATAGTTTCTTTGTTTATTAATTTGATCCCTTCGTCGCTACTCCAATCCTTCAAAATTTCATCCTCGGCAGATGTACTTGTAACTTCGGTTGAAGTATCCGATTCTTTCGTTGTTAACTAAAAAATGAACAATAGTTATTTAATATTTAAACAATATTAAAGTTCGTGCATTTTTTTTTTTTATTAATATTTCTAAAATAAATTTTACAAAAACAATCCATTATGCAATTTCAAAGTAAACTTTCAACAGAATAAAAAAAAAAAACGCACAAACTTAATTATTATTTTAATAATATCTTTGTTTTTGTAAAAACTTACGTCATAGGAATCGATAGGATTTATTTCTGGTGATTTATTTGAAATAACGTCGAAAGCTTTTTCATTGATTTCGTTTTGAAAAATCAATGTATCAATTGCATCGATATCATTATTATCTTGACGTTTTTCCAAAAGAGATCTTAATATACTATCATTTCTTTTAGGTTTTAAATGAACATCCGATGTATCCGATGATGTACTGTCAGGACTTCTTACTCTTACTGCATTTCGTTTAATAAATATACCGAAAATGAAATGAATACATTTTTGTAAAAATCATCAGGAAGAAATAACGTTCACAATCAAATTAAAAAATATATTTTACTGAAGTATATATATTAGGGTGAATCAAAAAAAAACTTTTATTTTTTTTTTGGATCTGACACACAAAAACTTGTTGCTAGGCACCTTTAGAAAGTACTCACCCAGTATGGGCTCTTAATTTTAATAGGAAGATCCTCCTCATCGCGGTTTTTTATTTTTTTCTCAGTCCAACAGAAAAAAATTCATACCT